AAATTTTGGGAAAAAACCCAAAGCATTATAAGATTCTAAGGAAGTTTCGGGGAAATGGCACAAAAACCTCAATTTTTCCCCAAGTCGGAGGAAATTCTCAAAATGTTTGGAGAAATTTCGGGTTTTCCACAATATTTCCCCAGAATCTTATATTACTTTGGGTTTTTTCCCAAACTTTGGGGAAAACTACCAAACTTTTTACGACATTTGAGAACTTTAAAATCCCAATCTCCCTATTTTGCAGAAAAACCCCAAAATCTGTGTTGCTCTTTTTTCCAAACAAACAGTTGTCAAAATTTCTGGGAAAAACTCGAAGATTTTGGGGAATTTCTCCACATTTGGGAAAATTTCGGGGGTTTTCGTTCCATTGCCCCAAAAGTTTCTATAGCGGCTTCCCCAAAACAGACAAAATTTCCTCCGAAATAGGGAGATTGGGATTCTTGGGAAATTTTGGGGTTTTTGTGCCATGCCCCCAAAGTTTTTCTTTGAGGCTCCCCCAGAATTTACCCATAACGGACAAAGTTTCGCTTAAAATAAGGAGATCGGGTTCAGTGTCTTTCCGAAGAAAAAAGACTACAACAACTATCAACAGTATGTGATTCGGGAGATAGGTGACCGTTGCGACTCCTATGGTATATGAAGCAATCAGTCGGATCATACAAATTAGATTACGTATTATTGAGGCGAGTGTGACCACAAAGGTTGCTCCATTACATGAGACAGATTCTCAGTGTATCAGGAAAATCAATTACTCTGAGGAATCTGGCAGAGTTGGTGAACAGCGTGATGAAATCTTGTCCAGATTGCCACAGTGCAAACGAAGTACAAGCTACTGACAGCGTGTGTACTGATGAAATGATGACATTTCAACAGCAGTCAATTGTCATTTTCAATAAGCTTGCAGCATTACTAGTAATTATATCCACTATCCACGTGAGATGAGCTAGATCATTCTCTAAATAAACCAATTTCCAAGACAGCATTTTTAATCATTTAAACCAACCTCTGAGGTCTGATATTATCATAGCACAGCGATGTAGAAGACCATGCGAATTTGTAATGCAACGATGAGAACCAAGGAAACGGGACGATCAGACAGTAATGGCGGTGCCTGTTTCTGGCCAATCGACAAGCCTTATTTTGCATGGTAGGAGCAATGTTTCCGGTTCGGACATTTTAGTCTACATAGAAGTAGAGATCAGCACAATTCCACTGATACCATGAGGGAGACATATTCCAACGAAACAGTGTTACTATAGACGGTAATTGAAACAGTTGTTCAGATGTACGGAGAACAGTCAATAATATTAGACCTCCGACCTTGCTCGCGTTTTTCATGGATTTTCGTAGTCGCGCAATTTATAATACCTCTCCAACAACTAAGTTTGTTTATGGCTAATTTTGAAAAGCCTTTCAAATAACTTATTCGAATAGCAACAATTTTTGTAAGCAAAGATGGATAGTGGCTAGCAGTGGGATCCAGGACGCGCGTTTCGTCCTCGTCTCGTCAGCTGGATGTAGCTACATCTCGTTTCTGTATGTACATATATGCTTGGTTACATGTGAAAGCCTATGCACATATCCCTCTCGAGCTTAAATGTTAATCGCTTAAATATCGCTTAATGAATCATTCACTATCTCACATATATACATTTTCTTGAACCTTATTATTAATTACTTCGCTTCATTTTGATCCGCTTCGCTCCGATTTGATTTGACTCTGAATATGTTTCTGTACTCACATCCTCTCACACATCAGCATTTCTGCTCAAATTTACTTTATAAAGCTTTGAATTATCGACTTGAAGTAAGTAGATATTTGACTATTTTTATTATCATTATCGTTGGTGATTTTAGTGCTGGTTCTAAAAATATTAGTTAGTAGATTTATACTACTTATTAATAATAAAGTAGCATAATTGTTTCACCTTTCAAAAGTTATCTCAGTGCTACTTGATGCCCTTTGGTTTAACTACCTTAGATTTCGGAACTGGTATCATACCAAATTGATTTGTAATGTCCACTGAATTTCCATTTCAATCAACCTACTTTGGATCTTAGGTCTAACAATTTTTGATAAAAGTACTCAGATTTCGTCTTAGAATCGATTCGGTTACATTTTTTTCGGAATTTAAAATTTAAATCTGAGGGAGTGTGACTTTGTTTCCATTCGATCTAGTTTTTGTTACCAAATAAGTTCCAAATGTATTTTTCTGGATTGATTTTGTTATACTACAAGTGTCTTAGTTACAGTCAAAAGCAAAGGATTCTGTTTTGAGCTTAGAGATAAGTTCCTTGGTATATTCGACTAGGTATATTGTGAAACGTCGTGGATTTTTTGATGAAGGAGTTATTTTGCATGTACGTACAGCTTTAATAATTTGACGAGAAGTACAGGTATCATTGAAGCATTGTTCAAAAAATATTTATCTAGTTATGTCTTTTGGTATTCTGCAACGGACTGTCATCCACTAGTTCAGTGACTTAAAAACATGAACAGCGTAGCGACTCATCATAAATTTCATACAATTGGTTCCCTTGTTTACTGGTTCTTTTTTCTGGTTTTATTCAACTACATAAATGGAACCGGCTGTGTGAAATTTCCTAAACGTTTCCCCCTTGTTCATGTTTTTAAGCCACTTATGGAATTATTACCTAGTTTGTTCCCAATATGCCTATTTTGGGAAAGCCGTTATAGATGACTTCAATAGTTGAAATCATGAGTCAGTTTAAGCTAGGCAACCATGAAAAACCTGGAAGCACTGGACGGCCGTTTCTTCCTAGTATAGGACTCCTCAACAGTGCGCATCTACGATTCCGCCTGCGGGATTCGAACCCAGGTCCTTCAGTCTCGCGCGTGAACACTTAACCTCTAGACCAGTGAAGCTAATCCGTGTCGGATAGAGACAGGTATCTACTTCAGTACAATGGAAAATAGTCACGCAATTTTATGGATTGGTTGAGGTTAGACATTAACACCGTTGGATGCTGAACAGCTCAGTGGTCTATGAGTTAAGCGTTCTCACGCGAGACCGATAGATCCCAGGTTCGAATCCATCGAGCAGGAACGTGGATGCGCACTGTTGAGAAGTCCCACAATATGACGAAACGGCCGTCCATTGCTTCCAGGTTTTCAATGGTGGTCTAACATCAATCTCAATCAAAAATAAATAACTTCTTCGAATTCCTAACAATTGCTAATACATTTCAGTTAAGTACATCAAGTTGATGTTGAACTTTCATTCCCATTGTTCTAAAAAATGAAAAAAGCGGTTACTCTTCTGCATTACAACCGCATTGTCAAAACTACTAAATGGATAATAGTAAACAAATGAATGCCCCATGTCATTGCAATCATCCTCTAACCTATGAATCTATAATGACATATGAAAGTTTTATTATGTAATAATAGTATAACAATAGTGTTTACTGATTGAGATCAGGAACCAGTTGATGTTAGACCACCATTGAAAACCTGGGAGCAATGGATGGTCGTTTCGTCCTAGTATGGGATTCCTCAATAGTGCACATTCATGATCCTGCCCCGAGGGACTCGGACTCAGTGCCTATCGATCTCGTGTGCGAACGCTTAACTTTTAGACCACTGAGCCGGTCGGCATCCAATGGTGTTAATGCTTAACTTTAACTGATAATTATTAACTATAATATAAATGGATATGTACATTCTTGAATTGATTATAATTTCCTTAAGCAAAGTTAGTGATTTTTAAGAAATAAATTAAATCAATGTGTGTTCAATGGTGAAGTAAGTACCAGCCCAAATGAGGTTAGTTAAGCCTCTTGAGGTAAGCCAAGGTAGTTCTTGCGGTGAAGAATACCGTCTTTAAAAAAAACGCACTAGTAACGAATACCTTTTTTAGGGGGGAAATCGTTATAAATACAGGGTCTTGTCACTCGAGTATCGCATAGCATACATATCGGTATAATGATCACTTGGAAAGATAGATAGCAACTGCTTATTCCAATTGGATTTGTTACAATATGGAAGAAAATGATTGCAAAAGGTACCAATATTCATCGATGGATCTAAATACTCTGTAAGGAGCATACTTCGATTCTCATCAGCTAAGAAGGATCATACTTAAAGTAGACTGAAGTGAGAATGTGAGAGATCAGTCTCATAAATCGCATATTATATATTCTGTAGAACAGTTCAAAAGATGTTGACGACATAGTCCTGAAAGATAAACATCGAATCCATTTGCTATCCCTTTCAATAATCTGTAGAAATACTATGCGTTACATATTACAATTTACAATTATCAACGGTAATATTTACATTTGCATCAGTGTACTTCAATACAATTACATCAACATATATCAAACTGACCCATTGGAATACACAAAATATCATCTATTCTATACAACATGATTACATCATTAATAACTATCTCTTTCGGTTAACTCATTGCTAGATTATGCAATCATTATTACATAACCGCGCATACATCCATACTCATACACAGTTTATGGATCATCATAACACCACAACTTCATGAGAAATGTGAGTATATAGGGGTGTATACAACAAATGGGAAAGCAGCGATTGATTGATTGATCCATAAATATTATGTAATACTAATCAAGATATTGTATCACTTAGGATGAATTGTAAGTTGTAAGTTATGAGAATGTGATCATAATGAGATGATGATGATGATGATCATCATCATCATAATCATCATTGACTTGGTTCACATATTCTACTATACCACGATTCATATTTTCAATTATGAATGTACTATTTAGTGTATATAATAGTCATAACGATAACTATGACTGTGTTATGTAAGTATTTCAGGGTGTTGCACAATCACTATGAATTTGTAAAGATCACGAAACAATAATAAACATGAGAACAAGTGAATGAAGATAAAGATGACTATTGAGAACACACACTACAACCGACTATTGCGTAATCATACTACACCCATTCATTCCTTGTCCTACAAAATATACTCGATTATTGGACGTAGTGATTAAAATGTATGTTGATGTGTTCCTTCATCATCACCGGTGTACACATTATACAATGTAGTGTACAAGTTGATTACATCATTCCCACTGTTACTATTATTATTATTATTATTATTATTATTATTATTATTATTATTATTATTATTATTATTATTACTATTATTATTCTCAGTCGAACGGGTTAATAAAATCATCTTGTGAAGTTTTGTAATTCAATTTCATAAATGGTGAGAATGTTCCTTTCCACATATGAATTTCAATGATATTTCATCTCATATTTACGGAGAAGTTTATTGATTAGACACGTTGACTAATACAATTGGTTACAAGGTTGATAGACATCAATCGTAGCTTTGCCAAGATGAGTTAGCTGGACGTGGATTTCATTGCAGATCAATGTGCTTCGAGTGTGTTTGTTGGAATGACTGATTTGTCAATGAAATCTGTGTACTAGAAATATGTCATTGTTACTATTGAACTGATCAACTATCTAACTCATTACGTTTTATGACAGCAACTTATCAATTAACAATTAAGAATGAAATGAATCACAGGTGAAATATAACTCGTAAATTCTTGTGGTGTCCATAGGACTTGTGAAATTCCTCCAATCAACTAACATGATCACCACTCAATGAACATCAGCCTAATTCACTACTCTGTCGTGATTTCATATTAATAAGGCATCGATTCTGTCGAGTTCACGGACGTACGTGAGTGGACGTCAAATAAAGATGATTGATGAATAATCATTCAGATTTGATCTGAAACACAATAACAGAATGTCGATCAAACAACTACATCAACCACGAAAATGAAGCACTAATGGAAACCAATGAGTGTAGAACAAATATGTTGTTGAAGTATGAGATCACTTAGCAGTGTGGATACACGACTCCATCGGTAATAGAACCATTTGAGGTGGGAGACCAACTTGAAACAGTGGAGACAATCTTGTAGTTTTAATTACAAAGTGAGTCATAGCTGCTCACCAATGAGCAGTCCCATTATTAGACAACACAATTGTTAAGTTCACCCTGATTTTCAACGGTATGCCTAATGAGATCTACGCATGTGGAATGCAACCGACACATTGAGGTCAACCTCCACTAAAACCCATCAACGATACCGCTTATGTGAATTTATAAATATCATCAAACTCTTGACATTCCAAATATTTTAGTATATTCAACAAGTGAGTGAACACTAAATTGGCATGATTCATAATATCCCCTAATAATCTGATTTCAATTAACCACTATAAACACACACACACATGCACACGTATGAATACTCCATCTCTAGTCACCACATCAACAAACTCCTCCTCCTCCTCCTCCTCCTCCTACTCCTCCTCCTACTCCCACTCTCTCCATTCACATTCTCCCGTTAATTATCCAACATCCATATTCAATGACGTGTCCAATTAACCAACATACACAACACTGATTCTCTGACAACTATTACTGTCCACTTAATTAATCAATTCATTAATGTCAATCATCATTTTCAACATGTTGATTATGACCTTCAACAGATTCTTCTTCAATCCACTATTCTCATCATCATCATCATCATCATCATCATCATCATCATCATCATCATCATCATCATCATCATCATCATCATCACCATCAACTTTCAAAATGATTATCTATTCATTTCAACAGTTTCACTGCAACTACTCATTAACAACAACAACAACAATCACAGCACAACACAACACGATCATATTCAATGTCGAACATGATCATAATTCAACTGATTCAATTGATGATTGATGTGTCAACTGGATGAATTGTGTTTGAGTAAGTGTCATGATGAAAATATAAGTGATTAATTATTATTGATTACTTTCAGTAAGATTACGTCATCACTATTGCATATTGAGAAGGATATCTAGCTGAGAGAAACAATTTGGCATGACAGAGATTCATTGATGACTTGAATAGATTGATATTTTTCTCACTTCTTCTCCACCACCATCACCAGCACCACCACCATCACTGTCATCATAATCACCCGAAACACGAACACACACACGCACACATGGAGTGATTACCATACACCAACACACACACAAAGGAGCTGAAAGATGGAAATCAATGGAACTACTGAATTTATTTCCATGATTTCTGATATTCAAAATACAAAGCATTCAATGATTAGTTAAGACCAGACCAGATCAGATCTGGTCAGATCATAATTGTGAAACTGTTAAGATGTCAACAGGTCACACGCCATTCAAACCATGTTGATATACACGAATGTAGGCCGATATTCATCATATTTTTATGTTGGCATTAAACTATCCTCACGTTACCACCAGAGATTATGATTTCATTTGAATGAAGTGACAAGATACACAACATGGCTTACTTTAAAGAATATGTGGTCCATGAGTAAAGTGTTTCATTGACTGTATCATTGTCTTTGTGAGTTTACCATGGAGACAATGAACGATGCAAGTCAAATGTGATAGGAGAAGTTAGTTATGAATTTAGTTGGGGTGAATTCATACGAATCAACCATATTCTATCGCATCCGTAGTGTCATTTATGCAAAACAATCTAATGATTGTATAACGTAATATAAGTAGGTAGATGAATTAAGTCAACTCTGTACAGGAACTAAGTATCAGTAACACGGGCGATTGTTCATGATCAATACAGGCACGCATACAATCTTAAGTTGTAAAATGAATTGCTCACAGTCCAACTATTACCATAATAAACTACTCAAATTGCATCCTTCAGTAGTATAAAGAAAGAAAATATTTAGAGGGTTGGGTGTAGAAATCTAACTTAAGTCATGAAGTAAAGAATCAAAGCGAATGATTCCCCTCTCGCCATTTTTTACAGTACATATATTATCTGACACTTTCACCCCCTATTCTGTATATGCATAACAATAATATTCACTTCCCTCAACAACATGGAAAACAGTGAATATGATGCATATGATACTTGTTGTGAAAAATATCCACTCCATATTCATCATAATGAACACACACACAAACACCTGTCTCCTATTTCTCATTATACAAATCTATCTGTACATACATTCACAGTAGTTAGATACAAATTCCCAATAACACCCATTGTTCTACACTGTTCATTTCCATTCCTACTACTAGACTAACTTGCCAACTAAACTGACTAACGGCTTGACTGCTTGACTGTTTCACTGCTTCACTGACTGACTGGCTGACTGACTGACTATCAGATAATTCTACCCCATCAATTGTGTTTCATAAGTGAATATTAATAATTCATCCACTCATAATAATTTCCATTGACTATAATAACTAACAATTGACCAATAATCAAATGGTGATTTAATTCTCACAGAATTTATGATATTCAGTCTTCAATATCAATACATCACCAGTTGATTGGTTGTTCGTGATTTGCAGTGGTGACGAGGATGACGATGACGATGATGACGACGACAACAACAACGACTACGACTACGACTACGATGATCATGATGATGATGAACATCAGCATTAATAAGATTCACGTGCATATTCCTTGAAACAATTTACAGATTATCAATGAATATATCAGGATAGATGTACAGTGAATGGGTGTTGGCGTTGTTTTTGTTGTTGTCGTGCAGTGAATATTATTATATTATACTTTTCATAAATAACGAAATATGTTTGTGTTTGGGTAGGTGAACAGGTGAATATACATTAAGTGAATGAACACATCCATTTGAATGTTCCAGTAATATTCATCACAGACTGTTCTCATGACCATAACATGGATCGAACATAGGGAGTTGCAGTTGAATAGAATAGAAAAGTAAAGTATGCATCCGATTTGAAGTTAATACATTTCAAGTGCCTTTGTAGAAGTGTTGTAATGCAAATCAAGTTGTTTGATGAGAGAACCGATGTGACCAGTTGTGGATAGTTATCAGTTCAGTGTAGCTAACTAAGAGTTATGTTATTTAATGATAGACCTATTAGAAATCATTCCACTTCGTCTGCATAAATATACAATTGAGTGGCTTAAACTTCCTTCTTTGCTCAGTAGATTGATTGACTATCATACAATAGTTCACTTCACAGAATAGCTATAGCAAGAAATTCGTTGGGAACTGGGAAGTACTCGACCACTGTTTCTTCCTATTGTGAGAATCTCTAGCAACGTACAGTTATTGACCACTCCAGGAATAGAAAATGTTGTCTTCTAGTCCCAACATCCACGTGTGACAATAATACCATGTATTCACTCATGAATAATCTGATGACTTGTTCAACACTCAATAAGTTATGAAATGACTCAATTGTTGACATTGATCTCAGAGAGAAGTAATGAGTTGGTCAGTGATAAACAACCTACAATTTGACACACATATTACCACCAATCTGAACTGACAAACACATCTCTTTATGGTTGATTACAGCAATGAAGTTCTCCTAGAATAACACCGTTTTCACCTAATGTTTCTGGGATTGACGTAAATTCAGGAGATTCACTTTTCGACTTTTATTAAGTAACTTACTTAATCCTGTTTGATGAAGATACTAACACCAGATAGAGTCTTCTGACCTCTATGACTAGCAATGCATAGAAGTGTGGGATCTGATTCTATTTCTCTGAATCCAAAGATGTCACTTTACAGTAAGTCTACGTCAACACTGGAACTAATAATACGCAGTAAACTAGTTGAACGTGTCGACTACTCTACTTATCTTGGAGGTCCCATCAGTCCTGATGTGTTGGTGTTTGAGGCAACCTCGACACGCATTGCGAAACATACACTGACTTTATCCCAATAGTATAACTCATCGCTCAGTCAAGTTAGACATCTGGCAACCGAAGAACAAGTATAATGTAAGGCAATCCTCCCTCTTTCACTCTATGTCTCTGAAACATAGTTTGTAATGGAGGGACTAGCTTATCAACGTCGCTATTCGTTGTGAAGTATTAAGCAAATATGTTAGACTGAAGTGGTCAGAACATGCGATACGTATGCTTTACTACAACCCAAATCAATAAATAACGTTCGCTTGTGTGAGAGTAGGTTGGGACAAAGCCATAGATGACAAAGCATAAACGTGGTATTCATTCATCAAATTACTGACTGTTGGTCGTATCAGTCACGTAGATGAATGCAGATTACTTGGTTATGATCAAAGTAATAGATGCGATCATTAGCTAAAGATTTTTGGTGACATGGATCAGAATCGGACACAGTAGCGTAGATGAATTCATTATCTATTCTCCTCCTACACCACATCTTGAATTCTGGTATTCCATCATGCACAACCTTTGTCAATCTGTCCATTCGAATAATATTTTCAACGCTCACTCTTTATCAGCATCGTTGGCAGTACAATATATTCGGACTATAGTCACACATCATAATCTGAAACTAGATGTTATGGGTTAGGATGCTACAAGAAATACCATCTCCTTCAAGGATAATGACGAACAACAAACGACTTAGAAACCTATGTTCAGTAGTACAGTATATCCTCTTGATCAAATTCAACAACCTACCATCGAAATACACATCGGAATACACAACGAAAAATCACTTGAACTAGTGAACATATATTCAGTTGATCCATAGCACTCACAAAACATCAAAGACAAGACAAGTGTGACATCGATCACTATTCAATGGTCAGTCAACGTTCACTGGTGGACATTATTCAATGATTCTACAAATAATGATTTTATGTTCATAGTTTATAGAACTAGAAGTATCATTATTATCATGATTACTATCAACATGACCTAATCCATAATACACTCGCACACATCCACAAACACACACACACATCCACCCACATTCGAATACATTCACATTGTTGGTATGGTAAAATCATTGATGCATCAATCAAAATGAATCAAATTAGTGTGTTTCTACTGGGTACAATGGGAACTAATTTATTTCCAAACACCATAACAACAACAACAACAACAACAACAACATGGACAACACCGACAGCAATAATCATTAAACTCATGGATAATTCGTTAATCCTACACTTTCCCATCTCTCAACTATTAATCAATTCTATATATATACACATTCATTCTCATGCTCAATCACTACTCCAACACTCGATTACACATATTCATTCAGTTTGAAATTACTCAATCACTTATCAACTCTTATTACTTCCTCACTCTCAATCACTGTGCTTCACTCTCCATATGATGATGATCAATTGAGTAGTATATTACCATTCATTGTAAAATATCAAACAGGTTACTCTCTAATCTCACATGTATTTATATACACATCATGAATGAAAAGGAAGGACACAAGGTGATTGTCATCAAATCAGCAGATGAAGACAACTGTGTTGAAGATGAGCAAGAAGAGAGTGAGAGAGAGAGAGAGAGAGGGAGAGAGGGAATCACTTGATGATTAAGTTAGTTTATTGATGCAGAAATTAAATTAAAATTCATTTCGAAACGATATTCAACTTTCACTGTTTGTTATTATTCTCCCTATTCCCCCTATTCCCCTTGATTCGCCCTATTCTCCCAATTATTATTATTATTATTAATGTTATGGTAATTATCATCATCACCACCACCACCACCATGAAATCATTTTTAAAATTGAATATTTGATGAGTAGATAATTGAACTTTTAATCCCCATACGTACAAAGTTAGTCGCTGACTCGCTACCTCGCTCACTCGTTTGCTCGTTCGTTGCTGTCATACACACACACGTACACACACACGTACACACACATATGGATCTCCCTATCTGCATATACACATATCATCATATATACAAAGAAACAAGTTGAGATAAATTCAACTTTTCTTTCATTGAATCACTTTTATTCAAATGACTTTGTTTAATAGAATTTGCTTAAATTATCCATTCAATAATGATAATAATAAATGATTTCATGGTTATCATTGATAGTAAGGAGATGGATGAATAATGAATGGATAGATGATGGTGATGATGATGATGTTAGTCAGTGTGATATATTATGTAACAGTTGAATTCATGAGTCAATGTAAAATAGACCATTAATGATAATCTGGATGTACTGAATGGCTGTTTCATCCCAGTATGGCACTCTTCAATAATGCACATCCACGATACAAGTCCGTGAGATTCCAACCCAAGATCAATCGGTCGAGACCAATGAAGTCCAACTGGGTATGTTATGAGATAGTAACTCACTGAAGATTGGATTGGTGGAAGTTAGAAATTAACACTGTTGGATGCTGACCTAATCAGTGGTCTAAACCGAGACCGGTAGGTCCTGAGTTCGAGTCACATGAGGCCGATTCTCGGAGACTCACACTAGGATGAAACGGCAGTTTAGTGCTTCGAGGATTCTATGGTGGTCTAACTTCAATTAACTCATTATCTCAGCTATTAAATTACTATCATCTTCACAAAACCCCTCTCTGATTGATAAGCTTCTCCTATTACTATATACTTAATAAGTTATTTCAATTATTTCATCAACCCTACTTTTCTTCAATATCATAAAACACGTTAATTATCACTATGATTAATTGTTGTATTCACATACACACAATATACATGTATCATTAACATGGTTAGATGATACATTCTGCAAGTTCCACATAAAATCTGTTCAATCAGTTTGTGAGTGTGTGTGTGACTGTGTGACTGTATGAGTAGTGAGGAGTTACACACTCACATTATCATCAGATGGATAGGTAGGTGGGTAGGTAGGTAGGTGGGTGGGTAGGTACATAGATGGGTTGATGGATTGATGGATAGAGGAGTATAGAGACACGCGAATTCAAACTGATGATGATTATGTTACATACACATTGATAATTATTACTTGTAATAATCATAATGTAGATGTACATTGTTGAAGTGATTATCTTTACATGATTCAAAGTCATTTATTATTATTAATCAATCATTAATATAGGGTTGTGGAAAGTAATCAGTTTTCATTGAGATCATGAACCGATCAACAGTAGACCACAATTGAGAATCTCGAAGCACTAGACGGCCGTTACGTTCAAATCTATGATACATCAGCATTACTCATCCACGATTACCAATGCGGGACTCAAGCCCAGGACATTCAATCGTGTATAAACACTTCACTTCTGAATTAAAACAATCCACAATATTGGGCAACCATCTGTTGTTGTCTACGCTGGTCTACAGATTAACCATTTTTGTGAGAACAAATGTCCTCATTTCGAGTATCGCGTGCGAGATGGTGATGAATAAATATTGTCGTATCATCCAAGAATATCTCCTTCAATGTATCGAGATGACACAGTAACAACTTCAATAAATTTTACATTCAGTTAAATGCATTACTACTAATCCCATTGAAACACCATAACATCCAACAATCAAACATGATCATTCCTACATGTGCATTCATGTTTCATCCTCCTCCTGATGAACACCACATCACTAAGTTGTGACTAAGTGGTATTGCTTAGTTCATTATTAATTGACTACTGATCAAATTCCACACATCAACTCGCACCGCACACTGTCCATACACAGTTGGCAATTCTGTGTAAACATTTTCATTGAATTACAATGTATGATCTGATCATCATTAAAATATCATTCTCCTTATAACAAACTACTTCGTTATTATTCAAGTGTTATCACACTGTTATAGTCAGAGTGTTCGAACACATTTTGTCCAGTACACATACTGAATTGACAATGAATAACGAGTTCACTTCACAGTGGAATTGTGGAATTGTGCATTGGATGTGAATAATCCATTGTAAACGACATTTACATATTGGAAAGTAGAATGGCTAAATGATGAATAGATGGATGAATGAACAAAAGTTGGTTTGTTTGTTTGTATTCATCCAAAAGTGTATTCATCTATTCCTACTGTCCACGGGTATATGGTGCAGATTCACCATTGGATTAACTCATCAAAATCAGGTGATACGGTCGAAGATTCACTGGTTTGTCATCAAACAACCAACACAGTTCAATATTCATCTTTCATTCTTCACCAGTTCATATTCATCGTATCCACTAGTTGTTTACTAAATTGAAGGATTCTCAACATTGATTTCTATAGGGAAGTACTTCATTCATTCTGTTTACAACCACAATCTGTAATACAAATTCAATAATCATAACTATTTTCATTATGAATATTGTCAAAATGATTTTATTGATTATGTAATATTCACCATTCATTCTCTCATTTCAATTCATGATAGATTTATCAATTTGTAACCTGTTCACAGGTAACAGCTAATTCTGTTGTAGATCACCAGCGTAGATGATCTATATCGAATGATTGCAGGACTACTCGAGTTAGACAGGACTGGTGTGACGAACCAGCAAACATCGAAGTTACACATCGAGGTCAGCACCTAACGTGGATTACCGGTCCGACATATCAAAGTACTGTGGTCGCTTTGAAGACCGTACAACACAGTGGAGGTTATTACAGAAATATATTAGTTCAGGTCGATAAAAGCGAAAGTAAGACCACCGCCGCCTCATGGGCCAAACCATGGCGTACGACTAGCTCATTCGCATTGGTTGTCCTTCACCTTGACGAGGATCGATGATTTGATCGATATTCAGTGATCCAAATGCCGGATGATTTGATTAGAGCTCAGTGACACTTCACTGGCTCGACACTGTCTTACACAACTACTCGTGCAATTCCAACAACCATCGACACTCCATCCAATCATCTCTCCTCATTCGACAAGAAACTCACACTCTACACACATTTCATCATCATCATCATAAACATGTTCAACTCTGTGAGAATTCAGAAATGGTAGAAGGCAAAGAATTTACTTATCAATCGTCGGTTGAACGTATGTTCAAGTCGGATGATGACAGTCACTATCGTTTCAACTGGTTTACCACTTCACATAACACATAAGAAACAGTAGCGAACTTATGATAGTTTCATTGAGACTATTAGTCATTTCATCCAATGTATTCATAATCATCAATCATTTGTTTGTCCATATAACCATACTCCAATATTCATTTGGTACAATTCGATCTTCTACCACTCAGTCACACACAAGCACACACACGACAACCGATTTGAGAGAGAGGGAGAAGTAGAAGAAAGAGAAGAAGAAGAACACAGACATATTGGAATTGAATGTTCCTTCATTAATCTATATTAAACGCAATATGATTAAATTTATTGCCCAAAGATAAATACAAACTGTTTTACACTCTTTTTTTCTAATGAATTGTGATATCCTGCTTCTTTTTTTCTTCTAAAAGAGAATTTGTTTGTGTGTATCAATTAATCATGCTGCTACTGATGATGCTGCTGCTGCTGCTGATGATGATGATGCTGATGATGATGATATGAAAATTGGTAGAGACTTCTTCTCGATGGAATTTCTCAGAGGGATATTTCAATGCATATTAGTATATTTCAGTTTCCTTCATGTCTTACCCCTCTCTCCCCCCCACACACACACAGTGAGGGAGAAAGAGAGTAACTATATATTAGCAAGTTAGTCATAGATTTAACGATACTATCCAATTCATCTTTTATAATTAACTGAGAACTCATATGCCTCATTAGTGAGAATATTAAATATATCAGTGTGGATATTTGTAAATGAGTAGAATTAGTATTAGTAGTATCGGTAGTAGTAGTAGTAGTAGTAGTAGTAGTAGTAGTAGTAGTAGTAGTAGTAGTAGTAGTAGTAGTAGTAGTAGTATTGGTAGTAGTAGTAGTAGTAGTATTGGTAGTAGTAGTAGTAGTAGTAGTAGTAGTAGTAGTAGTAGTAGTAGTAGTAGTAGTAGTAGTAGTAGTAGTAGTAGTAGTAGTAGTAGTAGTAGTAGTAGTAGTAGTAGTAGTAGTAGTAGTAGTAGTAGTAGTAGTAGTAGTAGTAGTAGTAGTGGTTGCTAATCATTAGATTGTTCATAAGTAGTATCTTGCGGAACATAACATCGAAACGGCAATATTTGTACATCGAAAGTACAGTGTTGGCAAAATATTTGGAGACTAGATAAGAAAACAATCCAAGATAGTAGGATACACTGAAAGATATAAATGGATGACTGAAAACAACGTATATCTATTATGTCAATACTTTGTCGTTCCTCACAAATATAAATATTTCTGCGTATTATCATATTTTCCAGTATAAATAATAGCACAGGATGCACATATACCAATAAGAGACTAATCAATTGCAGTCCTAAACATCAGTGGGAAGATTCAAGTAAACAATACCAAGTAAATTCAAACTTCATCCCATTGTACAAGCAAGTGACTATCGGGACTCAGTAGCTAAGTGGACATCGTGATGGTGGTACCGGCTTCGAATCTCAGAGTGAACATCAACTTTGAAATGCAAGTACAACCATCTGATGAGTCTCGAATGGCATAAAACGCTTCTTGTCTTTCATTCCACTGCTAGACACCATCCATCTTTGCTCAGAATGCTTGTGACTTAAAGTAGTATCGAGGCAGTTGTCAGAGGATACACATATGTTAATAAGAGACTAATCAATTGTACTCCTAAATTATACAAAATGAATACGAATGATAGTATTCATATAAGTAGTATGAATATAAGTAATGATATAGAATACTTCCCAATAGGGAATGAATAATATTGAACTGCATCATGTATTTAATGAAAAACTAGTGAATATCGTTCGACTTTATCACTTTACCTTGATTAGTTAATTCAATCATTAAGATGTAGCCTATACAATATAATCAGAAAAGAGGTTTTCCCGGAGATCTTAGTTATTTTAATAGTTGAATTCATGAGTTAATTGAACGTAGATCACCATGGAAAACTTGGAAGCAATAGATGGCTGTTTCGTCCTAGTATGGGACTCCTCATTAGTACACATTCGCGATTCCGCTTCGCGAGATTTCAACCCAGGATTTATCGGTCTTGTACGCGCGCGGATCCTTAACCTTTAGACCACTGAGCCGGTCGGCTTCCAACGGTGTTAATATCTAACTTAAACTAATCCATGAATTTGCGCCACCGTCCTTAATTGTCACCAGTGAATTACTATTTCACACCAAACCCAGTTGAACTCCACTGGTCACAACTTCTCACTAGAACTCTAGGAAATGCCTCGTGAAGCTATTCACTTGTGAGCATATGTTGATTAATATCACAAGTGGTTTTCTCGAAATTATAGTTGTTTTAAATGGTTGAATTCATGAGTCAATTGAAGTTAGACAACCATGGAAAACCTGGAGGTACTGGACTGCCGTTTCGTTTGAGTATGGAGCTCCTCAACAGTGAGCATCCACGATCCCACCCAGTGAAATTCGAACCCAAGTCTTGTCAATCTCGCGCGTGAAAGCGCTTAACCACTAGACCATTGGGCCAGTCGACTGAAAGCCCCACGAACAAATCATCCAGCTCAGAGAACGAAATTCCACCATAATATATAATATTAGAAGTTACAATGAGATTATTGAAACCTTTTGGAATAGGTGTAACACACAAACCAATAAAATTTCTATCAAAATTACTTCAAGTTGCTACAACTGCGGACAATACTACATTGGAAAAAGTGGACACCCTTTTCATCTTCGCTTGTATCGACATTAATTAATGGTCAAATGATATGACATATCCTCGCTTATACCAATGCATGTGGACAACTATGGGCATACGTTCAACGTGAAAACTGTTGAGATCTTCGATAGAAGGAATTCTAAAAACTTCAGAGAATTTTTAGAAGCTTGGTACTCAAATCAGTTAGCAGTCAACAAACACATTGAAACCGTTCCGATCTATCGACCATTCAGGAACATTATGGAGAAATAGAAGATCAATAAATCAAATCAATGGGAGACACAATCAAAATGAAGAAGTACACAATGGCAGATGAAACACCAACAACAGCCAATAAAGATCTACAAGACAAGCTATGAACTTCATGTGGATAAAGTTGAACACTTCACTTCGACCTGAAGTTTGTGATGATCATATCGTTCAAAAGAACAATGAGAGCTCCATGACCCAAATCATTCAGTTGAGTGAACAAAACTCCATCAGTAACTCTTCAGAATATAATATGAAGCTTGTAAACACTAAATACAGAGACAGTTTTTCGAATCAAAAATCTGTCAGAAAACACAATAAATAAATTCTACTGTAGAACTAATTAGAATCATGTTTGACTGATCCAACAGTCAACTGGAAACCTTGTTTACGAAATGATGATAGTCATTTTATGAACGTAGATTCATACTACTTTTACATTGATAAGTAATATATCAATAGTCTGTCCATTTTATATTGCACTGGTTGAAATCATGAGTTAATTGAAGCTAGACCACCATGGAAAACCTGGAAACACTGGACGGTCGTTTCGTCCTACTGTGGGAACCCTCAGCAGTGTGCATCCACGATCCCGCACCCCGCGAGATTCGAACCCAGGGCCTATCAGTCTCGTACCAGGCGCTTAACCAACTAGACCACTGAACTGGTTGGCATCCAACAGTGTTAATGTCTAACTTCAACCAATCCACGAAGTTTCGCCACCGTACACCATTGTCTTCAGTGAGTTCTTATCTCACAACACACCTGTCTGAACTCTACTGGTAACGACTTATCACTAGAATTCCAGGAGTATCTCCTGAAGTCAGTCACTATTGAGCATAATAATTGGAATGACAACTTACGTAATCACTGTAATCACTAAAAATGTAATTTTGGAAAATATTCAATACAATCTAACTCAAATACTTAATTTTTAAACCACGCTCAAAATTCTACTGTGTATCTGCAATGTAAGAAGTTCATTCATACAGAAGAACTCTATCCACGAACAAGCCATCAATTACATAATTTAGTATAGAGAGAGATTATAGATATTTTAGTATTTTCACAATTGAAATGACGAATTGATCTTACTTAGACAATCATTGAAACCCTGGAAGTAATTAGTGTGTGAATGTGCTCTTCTGAAGAGTTCCATAACAGGATGAAATTGTAGTCTAGATTTTTCAGGTTTTCAATAATATCCAGCTAAGATTACTTCATAATTTCCATTGTACGGTTTTACTGAGAATGATTTAGACTTTGTGTTATATTCGTTATTGAATGGTCTCATTAAGAGTACCACTAAAATACATGAAGCATTGAAACGTTGAGCATTAACTCACTGATTCTACTAATGTAACATTTGAACCGAGATTGACGGTGTCCTACAATCAATACCTGTGTGTATTTAGTACTAAGGACCCAATCATTGTTATAAAATAATTATGTTACTATCTCATGGCTTTCAGTGGTTCCTTTAGCTCAAATCAGTTTGTGATGCATGAAACCCACAAACTTTCATAATTCTGATGAGTTTGTTGTGATAACTAACGCTAAAGCAGTTCAACCTTTTATGACGCCAAATGATTTATGTAAAAGAAAAATTTAGAATAAAAAAAGGAAAGAACATCTAGTGAAACATAAACACCGTTAGATGCCGACTGACTCAGTGGTCTAGAGGTTAATCGTTCGCACGCATGCGAGACCAATAGATACTGGCATCGAATCCTGCAAGTAGGATCATGAGTCCACACTATTGACGAGACTCATGATAGGACGAAACAACCATTTCAATACTTTCAGGTTTTCAACAATAATCTAACTACCATCGATTCTTGATCTCAATCAAAAAGAAACTATATAATAGACCATGAAATGGATTACGTAATCGACTATACAAAAGTCTAAAAAGTGAAAAACAGTATCCATTTACTGATTATAATGATTTTGATAGAGTGAAAACCAAAAAAAGGGGGGGAACATGTAAGAGAAATACACAGATTGTAATTTGTATATAGAACCAGTAATTAACTAATTTATAAATAATAAATGACTTTGAATCATGAAAAGTTAATCACTTCAACAATGTACATCTACATTATGATTATTACAAGTAATAATTATCAATGTGTATGTAACATAATCATCATCATCATCAGTTTGAATTCGCGTGTCTCTATACTCCTCTATCCATCCACCCATCAACCTATCCATCCACCCATCTATCCATCTATGTACCTACCTACCTACCTACCTACCTATCCATCTGATGATAATGTGAGTGTGTAACTCCTCACTACTCACACATTCACACACACATACACACACACTCACAAACTGATTGAACAGATTTTGAGTTATGTGGAACTTGCAGAATGTATCATCTATCCATGTTAATGATACATGTATACGATGTATGTGAATACAACAATTAATCATAGTGATAATTAACGTGTTTTATGATATTGAAGAAAAGTGGATGAATGAATGAATGAATGAACCCATAATGATGGTGATGATGATAACTTATGATTATGGAGATATTCATTACAAAACGTATCCATTTTCATTAAGTTGAATGAAGTGAATTAGTTGTGAAGTGATCTGAAGTAAGTAACTAATTAAGTAAAGAAGGAAGGAAGGAAGGAGTTGAAGATGGATTCAGTGATTTCTTCACAGTAGAATGACTTATTAAATATATTACTTACTTTACTTACTTACTTACGCCTGTTACTCCTCGTGAAAGAGCATAGACCGCTCACCAGCATTCTCCATCCAACCCTGTCCTGGGCAATCCTTTCTAGCTCCGTCCAGTTGTAATTCATCATTTTCATATCTGCTTCTATTATCCGACGCAATGTGTTCTTTGGCCTTCCTCTTTTTCGCTTCCCTTCAGGATTCCAAGTTAGGGCTTGCCTCGTGATGCAGTTTGACGATATGCGTAATGTATGTCCTATCCATTTCCATCGTCTTTTCCTAATTTCTTCTTCAGCTGGAAGTTGGTTTGTTCTCTCCCACAGAAGGCTAATATATATATATATATATATATATATATATATATATATATATATATATATATATATATATATATATTATCTATGGATTGATTACAGTGTAATTGTTATTCATTGTGTCCATTGAACATCAGTTCAGCCGAGTGAGTTAAGTTCGATATGTAGTATATTTGGGCAGCATCATTGATGAACAGGGTGGATCTGATGCAGATGTGAAGGCGCGAATCGGTAAAGCAAGAGTAGCATATTTACAACTGAAGTACATCTGGAACTCAAAACAATTGTCAACCAACACCAAAGTCAGAATTTTCAATACAAATGTGAAGACAGTTCTACTGTATGGGGCGGAAACCTGGAGAACTACGAAAGCCATCAATCAGAACATACAGGTGTTTATTAACAGTTGTCTACGCAAAATACTTTGAATCTGTTGGCCAAACACTATAACCAACAAACTACTATGGACGAGAACAAACCAGATTCCAGGGGAGGAAGAAATCAGGAAGAAGCGCTGGAAGTGAATAGGAAACACATTGAGGAAAGCACCCAACTGAGTCACAAGGTAAGCCCTCACACGGAATCCTTAAGGTCGAAGGAGAAGAGGAAGACCAGAGAACATGTGTTCGTTGATCTTCCTTTTCTCGTCCTGATTTCTTCCTCCACTGAAATCTGGTTTATTTAATTTTGAATTAGAAATATCAGTAAATGAATAGTCAAAACGCAATATTTATCTTAACAAATTTCCTCAACAGAATGTTGACGTATTTCCTATGTGAAATTGTGAATTCATATTACTGAATAACTGATTATTCTGACGCAACAACGGTTCATTGGTTACCAGTTTTCAATGGTTTTCCAATCGAATTTAGTTTATGATGATAAAT